ATTGCATGAGTGGGTTCCAAGACCTTTAGCATTGCATGGCGCTTTGCTACTTGGCTCGAACGGTAGCTCATCTTGCCTGTGAGCTGGCAAGCAGCAGGCTTGCGGTTGGAACACTCCGACTTGCCACATTGTGAAGCCATCAAAGTTTTTATTCTTTTTTTTTTCTTTCAGTGAGCTCACTTGATCAGGCAGGCGATGTCCGGACAAGGCCTAGGCTTTTTCATCATTGTGTTCACCTTGGCTTGATATGCATGAGAGCCACAAAGCAGCTGGGACGGTTTGTTTCATGTTGTGCCGCCGCATGTCGCAGGCTTTGCATCCTCTCGCAGTGCCTCGCTGCCCAATCTCAGCTCAGATGCTACGCGTAAACTGAATTGGGCTTCTGGGCAGCACGCATTGAGTGAAGATGCGCAGACATGAACTCATACACATGTAGGAACAAGAACGCTATGAACGGGGCTCCTGGCATCGCTACTAAGAGCGATCGGACGCTACGAACGGGGCTCCTGGCCGTACTACTAGTAACAAGAAGCGCAGACATGAACTCATTGCGTGCCTGTGGAATTACGGTGCCTGTCATTCAGGAAAAGCTTGGGGCAAGTTGTGCAGAGCCAGGATGCCTTTCTCCCAGCGGAGTGGCGAACCTTCGCCTTGACACAACCAAGCAATGAGTCATGTGTCATGTACATATTTGGAAGAAATTACGGCACATGATGGCAATGTAACATATCATCTTTGGGGACCAGGGCTTTATATAACTCTTCTCATTCAGATGTATTGGCATGTGCCTGTGATCCTGTGACCTAGGCCATGCGCTTCAGTCAGCTGGGGCGAAATGCTTCTCAGTTGAATTTTGGACACTGAAGCCAAATTCCAGAAAAAGATTGTCCGACTGCCACTGCCAGTGTATTTCTTCCGCTACTTTCCTCTGCTCTCAAGGCATATACAAAAAGCCCAACTCGTTCTGAGCTCAGCGATTCCGTCTCCCAACCTTTTTCACCCAATGTGATTCGTCGCTCAGGGAGTATGGGAAGTTCTACGGCGACCCGCGCAAGGAGCGTCCCTTCTCTGGACGGACGCCGACGCCTTCTCTCAACTCGGCTCCGTCGGCCGAGTGGATGCGAGTTCTCCGGATGGTTCGGTTTTGATGTTCGATGCGAGGCAGGCGAGTTCAAGATTGCCACGAGATTTCCGCATCTTGGTCCGGGAAGGGCGGAGGGATGAGGTGGTGCGGAGGCGTGGAGGCGGCGAAGGCAGAGAATTTCCTGAGATTCTGGGCTGATTCTGAGGTTGCCGGTGTCAGACACATCCTTCTCAAGGTCTGAGCCTCGAGTGCTCTGGGTCTTTCCTTGTTGACGGAACGCTGCAGAAGAGCCTTGGTCGTTGAGTCGTTGGACCGAGGCTCTACGGGCAGAGAGGGCATTCAGCTTGTCGTCTTCCGGGGGGAGCCTGGCTTCTACAAGTTGCTTGCCTTAGCTGTGATGTCCCAACTCCGAAGGCTTCTGGGTCAACATCTAAATACCGAAAAGAGATTATATGCAGGGACATGCAGGGAGATGCTCAATGATTTTCACCTGGGTGCGAACATATGTGCAGCCAAATCAAGATCAATTCGTTTGCTCACCAAGAAATGACGGCCTCAACGTCATCACGGGTGTGAAAGCCCAACGCATGTGCAACGTAGCAAACAAGGACAGTCAGCTGTGCAAAGCAAAAAGCAAATGTGTCGGCTTGCTGCACTCTCTTCCAGGACTGGATAGAACGCTTGCTGGGCTGAATGCCACAACAAGCGTGTTGTGGACTTTGTGTCTAGCAGTCTGGCACTCTTAAGGTGCTTGGCTTCTTGTCTTGCACCGTTTGGGTATGAACACTATTTTGTTCAACAAACAAGCGCAAGCAGCGCAATGTTAACAAGCTTGGAAGCGAACGTCGCAAAAGTCACCGGTGCCAGATTCAAGCTCAGCCGCCTGCAAAGCAGGCCCAGTCTAAGTTTGTGCGAGTGACGCAGCCAGCATGGCGTTTCACACCTCCAAGCAAGGGAGGAATCAACTCATCCTGCTGGAAAATGCATCGTCTCAGGATGTGCAAATGTTGAGATGAAACAACACATGACAAGACCTGGATCATTCGGAGAGGCAATCCAAAAGCAATTCGAGGAAAGCTCCTATGCGGTACTCACAGAGGTTGGGAGTTTGATTCTGGATCTTCACTAAGTTGCGAGTTTGGTCGACGGGGTCTTGCCGTTTTCTTGGACACCTGGCAACCCGAGTTCCTGCAGCACCGCAGTTTCTTCGTGCGGACCTTGCTGAAAGAATAGCTGGTGAGCTGGAAGCGGTGGACAAAGCAGATGGTCCGAAACTAAGGTGCTCATTCCGCTCATTCCGAAACCTCCATCCAATGGCCCAAAAGGAACCTTGCAGTCACTTCACAACATCTCAACAACCAAGGATTTGAGCCGAATGCAGAGGAGACTACCCTTCACCCTTCACCGCGCAAGTGTGCATATGTTAAATGCATGTACCATGATTGTACATGTACGTGTTAAGAGCCTCCCTGATCAGCTCACCTTTTTCGCCATGTCACCATCGAACGAAGATTCATGTTTTCAAGCCCAGTGACTCGGAAGACCCCTGAGCCTCATTTGGGTTTGTGCGTTCTCATACCGGTCTTGGTCCCATTTCGCCCAAGGAAGAACACATCGAGGGAGAGAAACAACAAATGCGAAAGAACCGTATTCATAGAGGTCCTGGTCCTGGTCCCCAAAAAGGTTGTTGGTTCACGTAGGGTTTGGGACCATACAGACAAATCCCTGTACATATTAGTGGCAGCGATCAATTTCCAGGCGCAAACATGGACATTTCCTCTGAACATCCGCGCAGAGGAGCTTCCAGTGCCCTGCTATACCAGCGGTGTGGTCGATGGATGGGCACGTTCCTCAGCCAAATGTTTACACCCCAGCGGAACTTCGGCCCACTTGACCAAACTGGGGCGACTCCCAGCGGAAAGTAGAGCGGACACATGTTGTTGGGGGGGGACAATAGTGGATCGTTTGGTGACCTAAGCTCGTTCCTCCGGTTTCAAGCAGAAGGCTCTGCTGTCCGTCAAACCACGTGCTGCGGCTCCCAACAGACCGTTTGAGTCATAAGACTCTGTGCTGCCCAGATTCAACAGGGATCGCATCACCGGTTCAATATCCAAATCCCTACAACGCCCATGGTCTAAAACGAGTCTAAAAGTCTTTGGGCTTCCTGTCCCCACTCCCTTTGTCCGAGGAGTTGCTAGGCCCTCCTCACCTTCGGCGCTTCTTGTCCAAAGCCCAGACCATTTGGCTACCTCGGTCGCCACGTGCGCCACCGAGCCAAGCCGCGTGCCAGGCGCTTGGCCCAGGCGAGGCAAGACACCGCGGGACGATGGACGGAGAATCGGAGTCGGACGGGGTCGGCAAAGACGCGGCCAAGCTTCATGTCGAGGCGGCTCTTCCGGGCGCGGAATCACCTCATGGCAGGAGAGACGTCGAAACGAATCACCGAGAATCACCTTGCAGTAAAATGCTCAGAGTCGCAAGTTGCTCCTTGGATGTGCTGCGAGGCTGGGATGCAGCTTGCTGCGCCTCGCTCGGGAGGTGTTTGCTAGCCTTGGACTCAGCTGGCGTGTGTGTAAAGGCAACAAAGACGAAGAAACTCAAGGTGACAGCTTTCGAAGGTGGCTTAAAGCCCAAATCTGAGTCAGTTTCGCCATGTTCTTTGTGATCTTTGTGGCACTCTCTTGCAGACGTATAGCATTTTTCGCAATTTCATGTTGACAAGGCTTGCACCGGCTTGGACACTAAGAACGATGGTCGGCCGCAGGCAGAACACACCTGCACACCTGCCCTCAATCGCTCTGGACATTTCAAACCATTGAGAGGTGAGACGATTTCGACCTGGCTTGGACTACACAGCCATTCTGCTTGGAGTTTGTACCATTTTTGGTTGGACGTTTCGCTTTGACGTTTGGACGTCTATTGTATTTGAAGGCCGTTCTTTTGGCTTTTTTGGTCGGGGAATGAGCTATCTCCACCCCTGAGGTGGCAGCTCGAGGCGCACAAGACTCGGATGAGGCTGGGTGAAGTGTTCGTCCTGGTGACGCTAGACAGCCATATTCTGATGTTTGACGCTTGCAAAGACGCAGAGCAATGATTCAGGCAGACTTGGATGCAATCCTTTGCTTCGCATTGGGCGGCAGCAAGGCCAAGTAAGTGTTCATGGAATTCTCAGACAATAGTTCCTTTTCACTTAAGAGTTCTGTGGTTGAGGATGAGCTGCAAACTGCTGCCTCAGAGCAGTGGGCAAGCGAGGAGGCATGGAGAGGGAACAGCAAGAGAAAGCACGTCATATCGAGGGCAACGAACCCTGACAGCTTGATGAACGAAGTCGTAACAGGTTTTTCACGTGTGATTGGCAGTGCCGCCTGCCTTGAAGCTCGTGTTTTTGGCTTTCTTTGTAAACGTGAGATTCTGTCACATGAAGGTGGGTGGCTTTGAGTGCTACCTCGCAGCGGACGAGGCTCGGACACATACAACGAGGTGCTTCCGCTTTTTTCGACGCTTGGCTCTTCGAGGAGGATGAGACTGTCGAGGCTCAAGAGGCAGATGAAGTCATTCCCTTGGCACTGTCGAGGCCCATGTTCCCTATCTCTTTTTGCCAGGTCTACAGGGGAGCAGACACAGATGGCCCATTGGCCAGCCAACGAATTGATGTCCTTGACATGTTGACAGTCCATGACCATCCCTGATTTCTTTTTTTTCGGTCTTTGAGTCCGACTGCAACAACAACCTCTTTTTGCATTTGTTTGGCTCTTAGCTTGGCCTAGCTAGACAAAGACATAAACTGTTTATGTCATTTGTTTATGCACCACCATTTGATCCTCAAGCTAAGTTTTATTGCTGTTTGTTGAAGTTGAGCCGCGAATGGCTCCTGTTCCAAAGATCATGTAGCTTAACATGGCTTTGGTTGGAGCTCATGGCACATAACCTGGCTCTGAATTCCTTATTCCCGCACTCCGTCTCCTTTGACCATTTCGAGCCGGACTTGTACGACCATTTCGAGCCCGTACACACGGATCCGGACACCCTGGGAGTTGTCGCACGGGTGGGCGAACGGATCCCTGTGCTCTCTGGGGTCTTTCAGCTGCTCCATGAGTTGTCCGGAAACGAGGAGGCCCTCGAGCGCGCCAGACGAGCAGACCCCTTGGGCTCCAATGGGGTGTTGACGCATGCAGCAGAGCATATACCCTTGGTGAACTCGGTGTTGCAGGCGGTGCACAAAGAAAGAGATGACAAAGAAGCCTTGGAGCGAGCGCAACTCCGGAATCCCATTGGAAGCCAAGGCTACTTGACCAAAGCCTTGGAACATATCCCCTTGGTCAGTGATGGCATGGTCGCTTATCATCGGTACCAGGGTGACGATGTGGCCGCTGAACGTGCCAGAGGCTATTCCGTGGAAAGGCTTTTCAGCCGAGATGGTGCCATTACGCGCGTCGCCGAGCTGGTGCCAGGCTCCAACCTGTTTGCGGCCTGGTTTCACCGGATGAACGGCGACTCCGAGCCTTGGAACCGATTTGAACGGTTTGAGCGATTAACAAGTGCATTGGTACTAGTAACAAGAAACTACTAGCTTCTTGCTACTAGTAGTAATGGCCTCCAACCTAGTAGTTTTGGAGAAATGACTTGTAGTCAGGACACTCCTTTCCATCTTTTTAAACACGTCTCTTCTCTTCTCTGTATCAGGAACGCTTTGAGCGGGCCTTGAACCTCTATGAAAGCTGGAGCGCCTTGGGCTCCGGAAACCCCGACAGCGGCTTGTGGCAAATGGCGGAGCTGCTGCCGGGCGGTGATGCCGTCGCCTTTGCCGTGCACTTGCAATCCGGACCGAGCGCGTTCCCGTGGATGTGGGGATGTCGGGACCGATCCCAGCGGTGTGACTTCGCAAAAGGCAACCACGCAGTCGCGCAGTCGATTCACGAAAGACTTCGCAAACTTTTCGCGCGCGAAAGCTTCCGAAAGCGCGTGGAAAGCTTGCAAACACTTTCGAAATCAGTTGTGATGCAGTGCACGGAAGCCAAAATGCAAGCCGCGAAAGTGTTGCGAAGGGAACTTGCGAAAGCAGAGCCCATTAGAACATTTTCGATCGATAGGTTTTGAACAAAGCTCATTTTGGGATCCGTGGTTCCGGCGGTTGGTGGTTTTTGGTTCTTTGCCCTGAAGTTTTGTCAGGACACTATGCACAAGCTCTGCGCACAGTGACCAAAACCAGCTGGGTGAATGTGCAGACGCCCGAGCTGATCTTTTCCCTTCGCTGTCAGAGTCTCACGCATCTCTGGTGCGACAAGGCCAGAACAGCGTGCGGTTGGACGGCGAACGAGGTACTGTAGGTAGTTGAGCTCGGATGTTGTTTGTAGGTTGACATCCAGGAGGTGGATGTGATTCCAAGGCGTGGGACTTGCGAGTGACATAGACATACAAAGAGGATGTGATTAGTCTATCTATCGATCGATCGATCTATCAATCTATGGATCTACATCTATCTATCTATCTATCTATCTTGCTATTTGCTATCGACATGTTTGTGAAGGCAACTTTCCTTGGTCGTGGGTATGTCTGATATGGCGGCGAACTTTCTGCGCATCGACCGACAGGCTGCAAACATTGCATGCACATACTCTTTGTATTGCAAAGCCCAGCAGTCTAGCAGTGGAAGATCGTAGTATGTAATATTATAGATTGCTCGAGCCACAAGAACTTGATTGTTGTGGACATGTGCTGCTGTGGGCAACTGCTATTCATTCGGATCCAGAGTCAAGACAAAAGCTGTACGGTTTGTACCAAGCATAGGCAGCTTTAGACTCATACTTGTCCTGTGCAGTACCAAAGATTGAGCGAAGACAACAGCAGTAGTATCAGTATATTATCACGAAAGCCAGCCGATAGGCTAGGCTGGAGTTGTTGATGGGTGAACGAAGTGAGTACAGGGTGTGTGTCGGGGGTGGTGACGTAGCCGGTCCGGCAGGGTAGGGCGAACCCAGAGCCTGGTGGAGAGCGAAAGAAGGAGGCGGCCCAGTCTGCATGTATGGTTTTTTGGGCTGTTGTGATGCGAGTTATGTAATTGATGCCGAATAGTGCATCATTCATATCATGAGGAGATCAGGAGGCTATTTGGAGAGTCTTTCGACAAGGGGTGGGAGTTCATGTCGAAGGGGCACAACGTGACAGGAAAAGAGGTCGGGAGTGCACCAGGAAAGTGAGATGTGCGTCTCTTACCCCTCTGATTTCCTGTGGCTAAAAGAGTGGAAGGGAACGCGGAACGCACCCGTAGAGAACAGGAGAGGGAATAGAATGCAAGAAGGGCACTCCTCAGAGCTATAGATGTCCAAGGAGTTGGGCTTTGTATATTGGGCCCATCAAGTTGCCGCCAGAAGCGGCGAGACTCCGTGCTGGCTAGAACCTACTTCTCCTAGAGAAAGCGTTCAGACAACTCAGGAGAATATTTGTGGGCTCAACCTGAGAAGACATAGAATGGAGTCCGGAACCTTTAAGTTGCTGGAGGTGCCCTTGTTTTGTAGTGAAAGAGCCGGTTACCCAGATACCCCTCTTAGCTATACATACATGTCCAAGAGAGCCCGCCTTTCGTACAAATCCAAGTCTATCCTATCACACCTCATGGCGAAGGAGAGTTGACCCAGGCGTTATGTATATAGGCTCTGGCCTTCATGTTGTGTATATAGAGCCTATCATATCCACCCTCAATGCAAGACTTTGCGCCTCTCTGCCTGGTATTTCCCCATGCCTGACAGCAGTTGAAGTGCCCTGTTGACTTCACCCCATAACCGCATTATATAATGTAATGTCCCTTTAGGGAGGCTGGCTTTCGTTCCCTCCCTTCTCAGGCATAATATATATATATATATATGTATATACACTTTGTCATCACACACAATGTTCTCCTGATGCTACTTCCCACTTTATGACAAAGTATCAAAATACGTGGACCATTACTTGCCTTGCAAGCTTCCCTGTCGAAAGTGGTGATCTTACCCAGAAATGATCTTACCCTAGTGATGCGTTTGCTTCGCAATAGATACATGAACAAAGAACTAGAGTTGGTAGAAGCGGTTGTGAAGCATGGCCAGCGGTGGCTACGACGAAGCAGCCCGTGGACTTCTGGTGCTTTTGTGTGGAATTCCAGGCTGCGGCAAAGACTTGATCGGGAGGAGCTGCGCACAGGTTTTGAACGGTGCCGCGCTGTCACAGGATGAACACCAAGGAAATGCCACCTCAACGTTGGCAAAGTTCGAATCGCTACTTTTGCAAGGTACTTCACCTATCATCGTTCTGCGTAATGGTGTGGATGTTGGGGATCGACTTCCATATGTAATCTCAGCGCGGCGCAGTGGCTACAGAGTCACAGCGGTTTGGCCTGAAGAGATTTCGAGTGATCAGAGCGCCCGCAGAGCCGCCATTTTCTTAGCCAGCCTTGCTGGCTGCTATGGACGCTTAAGTGAAGGAGGTCGGTCTGGCCATGAAACATTGACAGTGACTGACAACCTGTCCAAACCCGCACAGGTATGCCTCAATTTCTTGCAGATGTTCCGAGCACCATCAGCGCCAGGGGAAGTTGATGCTGTTTGCAGAATGCCCTTTTTGCAATCGAACCTGGCATCATTTGAGGAGAGCTTAACCGGCAAGTTGTCAGACATTCAGACTGACATGTGCAAGGGAAAGGCGCTTCCAGACTTTGTAAAGAAAGCATTTGTCGGCAATTTCGAAGGAACCAAGATGAAGATCATGAAGTGGGGTGAAGCACGTCGATCATCTGAAGAGATCATTACTGAGTTGCTTGTGTTCCTTCGAAACCAGATCTCCATCAAGGCCGTACCTCCCCCTCCTGCCCCTACAGCTGTCGACACCAAACGTTTGCAGCGCGCAGCGAAGATTCGGGCAGCCGTCGAGCATTTAGTGTCACCCTTCAATCTGTCGGCTTGTCGAGAGGGTGGCACCACAGTGACTCTCTGCAGGTGGTTGACCGTGGAGGATCGTTTACGTCCAGCGTGGCCCAGCAGCTATTTTGCGGGCGCACCGCAGCTGAAGAAATGGGGAACAACGGCTCAGGATGTGTTGGACGCAGCACAGGAAAGCCTTGATGCCTTGGCTCCTCTCCAGGAGGGCGACAAAGGCGTGCGCGTGCAACTGCTCAACCAAGAGGGTGCGGTTTATGTCAGCCCAGTTGACCCTTTGCCTGAGGCTTCATTGCTCAAGCTCAGATGTCCTGACATCGAGCGGGCACGGTGAATGGTTGATGTCGACCATTTGTTGGGCTCAAATCAAAGACTGTTTGAGCGAGACACTGCTTCTTTTGGAGTATGGTTGATACATTTGATACTTGTTTTTTTTGCTCACAGTTTGTAAGCAGCTTTCAGCTTGGCTCTTGAAGCAGCGCCGCTTGACCATTGAAAGTCAAAGCATTGATGCTGCTTTGAGGGAAACAGAACTTGAAAATGCTTGTGCACATGATTATATAATATATTGGTTCTTTCTTTTACCCTCGTCTGAATTGCAAGTAGCTGCACCTTTTGTCCAGAGAGAGAGAGAGAGAGACTCTTGCTTTGCAAGTTGGCCATAGTTACGGTGTCTTCACGTGTCTCATCTGTCAAGCTGCCATCAGTGGCAGCTTTCTTTTGAATGCTGCATGTCTGCATGTCGTTTTGCCAGACCGGTATCAAACCATATCAAACCATTTTTTCTATGGAGTTCAGGAAGGAACAGACCGAGACTGAAAAATCCGCCCGGACCCAACAGCCGAGCACGTGATTCGGTCAGGGACATCGTCGCCATATCAAAGATCCCGCTGCTAGCTTAGTATTCGCATTGTGAATAGAAGACGTGGTGCATTCGATTCTTTTCCAGGAAGATTCTGGAGACGCTCAAGGAATGACCGCAATGGAATACTCAAAGGCTTGGGCTTTGGAGTCTGACTCTGTTCTTATAAGCCAGCATGTGTGGACTTGATCAGGAGCTACTCAAGGGAGTGGTGGATGAGATTATTTCACTTCGAGTCGACTACTTCACGAGAATGGTCGAGACCCTCAGTCATCCACCCTTTCAAGACGTGTCAAGAGCAGCGTCTTTTTTTCCCTGGCATTGTTGGGAAGGTCAAAATCACCAAACGACACGGGCGAACTCACCCACCCATACTCACCCAAATCCATTGTCCTGACAATCAGGGAATGTCTCGACTCCTCGACCATCCGTCTTGACTCCTCGACCTGAGGTGCCAACTTACGCTGATTGGATTGTTGAGTGGCAGACCTATGGATTTTCAAAGCACCAGGTCAAGAAGCCACATCGAACACTACTCAGCTCTAGATAGCGATGGCCTCCATCCAGCGATGGCCTCCAAGCTAGTAGCGATAGAAATCAAATCGCTGTGACAATTTTGCAGAACCTCGCTGACTGGCATTGCAAAGGTTCCTGGACGATTACTTGCTGCCAAAGTATCGTCAGGACTCAACCTTTCATGGGGCCAACACTGACACCTTTTGGTGCTGTTTGGATCTGTGCCATTTTTGGTGTCATTGAATTGAATTTTCCGCAGCTTTTGTTCCAACATCTCTTCCCACGGCGCCATGGCATTCCGTTGGAGTCGAGTTGCTGCTGGGTCTGTCCGGCGACTGGCGGCTGGAGCGTGTGTCAGCGCGAGCCTGGCACATGGTCTGCAGCTCTCGAGAGAGCTGCGCCTTGAAACTAGGCAAGACCTGGAGGAGCGTGTGAGAATGTTGGAGACGAAAATCAAGGCGATGGAACTGAACGACCTCGAGGAAGTTCGGGACTTCGCCTTAGTTTTAGCTTTGGGATGGTTTTACCATGTTTTACATGCTTTTGTAACGTGCTGACGATGTCGGAAACAATGCTTCGAAGCTGCTACCAATAAAGGCGATTGCCAGCATCAAATTGGCTGCCAAGCAGCATGGTCTTGACATCGCTGGTGGTACCATCCGCAGAACATCTTCACGCTTTTGCTTGGGTGTCGAGCACGGTGACTACAATGGCACAGAGCTCTTTGGTGTTGGCACGGACCGTTTCATTTGGATGGCCTACAAGCCGAACAATTCTGGAAAGATTCGAATCTTCAGCCAGAATTTTCCCGGGGAGGGTGTTGTGGAGTTTCAACCAGGGCAGGTGCCAGCTCCAAAGTCTTCATCCATCTCTGAGACCTGGGCACGCTTTCCCTACGGCGTGGACTTCGTTCTTCGGAAGAGTGGCTTTGACACCTCGCGTGGGTTCGATGCTGTGACGCATGGCTGGAAAATTGGCAAAACACATGGAGAAAAACCCGGCAAAAACGAATAACAGAAGATCGAGGCAACCAGACTTGATTTCAACCCTTGAGGGTTTGGTACATCCGCAAGGTTAATTGGCAACATCCCTGGTGGAGGGATGTCTCGATCAGCTTCCTTGGTCCTGAACCTGATGCTGACCATGCTGGAAATCAACAAAAATACCTTGCCTGACGGTGATTTCAGGGTTGCCTTTCGACGGCAGAAAAGCGTGTTGTGTCTTACTTTTCCGCTGCTTCCCGCTTGTCATGCTTGTTCTTGAGGTGAAAATGGCGCAACAGGTTGAGAATGACTGCATTGGCCTCTTTGTTGCAAAGACTGTCGCCACCTGTGTCATGGCCATTGCGAGCCCTGTCCACATAAGGAACACCTTGTGGCAACCTTGATCAAATCATGATCTACTATGCAAGACACGGAATGGGAACTCGCTTTGATCCCAAGACCAACAAGGTGAGGGCAGTTGCCGTGCATTTTGGTCTCTCCGTTCAGGTTTGGACTAGGTGACTCAGGACCGTCGAAATCGATGAAAGGAACGTATATAGATGAAATCCGAGCTTTTCAAAGCGAGCGTTCTCCTCTAATGGATGGCAAGTGTTCGAATTTAGCAGCTTTTAAGTTTATAGACGCTCCAGAGCCAGCAGCGTGCACTTCTTCGTGTACGGCGCAGTTGGTGCTTGCAACCGTTTGTCAACATGCCCATGCTCACATGCGAGAGTAGCATCTTTTTCAGGTGTGTGCCAGGTGCTTTCCACATGCGTCATCCCTCCAAAGTGCGTAGTTTCTTATTCGCAGGAAAGGCCAATCTTCGATGTCTCGCAGGAATGGGTCATGTCTCCGTCATGCGCTTCCAAGCAGGATGCCGAATGCACGACAAGCATTCGGCTTCAAAAGAGCCGGACATCACATGTTCTCTTTACAAAGGTGCCGGGTTGATAGTGATCCGCACAGAGAAGTCGCACTTATACACAGCCACTTATACAGAAGTGCTTTAATTTAGGAGTCCTATTTACTGCGCAGGCTCGCGTGGCACCTTCGAGCAAACTACCAGTTCTTGTAGCCTCCGTGTAGTAGCCTTTGCGTATTCTTTTGAGGATAATAGCTTACAGACGACAACAGGCCTACACTGAAATACCACTCGAACGCTTTTGCATCACTAGCATCACTGCACCACCTAAGACTTTACAAGCGCCGAGTCCCCTACTTCAGCCGCTTCAGACATGCAGTGTGGTCAGTTTTTGCTGTCGTGTGTGAGGTCAGCTATGTTCCGCTTGGTATGGATACCAATGAATTTCGCATTGCTGCCTTGGACACTGGCACTGTCCGCCATGGCTTGGAGAAAACCACCTATGCCGTGCGTGTCAAGGACGGCTGAAATTGACATTGGCACACCACAGCTGCGAGTGCCTGCCAGGAATGTAGGGAATTGGTCGCTTTACTCCAGCAAAGTGGTTACAAGGTGCAAAGTTTGGGTGACATCAAAGAGCGCAAGACTTACGACCTGCTCTTAGACCCCAACACTGCTGAAAACAGATTATGGGAGGATTGATGTAGTGACGAAGACCAAGGATGAAATATTGGCCAAGTTTGGCAAAAGTCATCCCAATCTCTGTGAGAGACTGGAGTACATCTTCTTTGCACAGGTGGGGTCCTGACAAGTTCTGCTGGTCGCCGCTTCATGTTTGGCATTTTGGTATCTGAGGAGCGCTTTGAGGGCATGGTGAAAGCCTGGAGGGAAGGAAAGATCGAGGAGGCGTGGATTCAAAGTGAAATTACATGCGAGAAGGGCATGATGTAAGAACCCTATGGACAATCCTTTTCCCGAGGGCATGGTTCTTGTTCATGTAATGAGTGATGACCTACACTGAGGTAGGTGCCATCTTCCGGCGTGATGGAATTGGTCTGCGTAGCTGGGCTCAGCTTTAGAGTTTGAACGTTGCCACCTTGAACGTGGCTCCCAAGGTGATGAATATCAAATCTCAGGACCAGAACTAGAGGCATCGAGGGCAACTTCACTTGCCACGCAGTAGCCTTTTGACCTGTGCATGTCTGAAGTAAAGATTTTCTCTGTTGTGGAGCAACGCTTTGTGCCGTTGCGCGCTTTAAAGCCATTTCTCCAGACCATGGTCAACATCGCTCGAACTATACCTGGTGTGATTGGCGAGCGTATGCTTGGCGGTGGTGACAAGGCAATTAGAGAGGGAGCAGATAGACAGGTACTGTACAGAGTTTTGAAGTGGAAAGAGAGGTAGAATGAGATATACTAGCGGACTGGAACTTAGAATGCATTTTTGGAAATCCTGATCCGGGGGAATTCCTTTTCCCCCCCGGTACCGTGAAACCGTGCTGATGATCTTACATAAACTTGGATCAACTTGAATAAACTTTGGCTCAGGGAAAAGCCATGTGCTGCTCTCCAAGGGGAAGATTTCCATATGTGCATGTATATACTGCTTAAATGTGTTAGGAATATTGTGGAAGCTTGAAAAACGTGCATATACGTGTGTATAAACGCTTTCCTTTCTCTACCTTTGCATTGGGAGGGAAAACAGAGAAATGCAAGGATTTGAACGCGGAAAGGAGATGGGCAGGCAAAGGGGAAATTACAGGCAAGCTAAACGAGAAGAGCGGAAGGAAACCGTAAAACAACACACGCCAGAATGAATTGAACATCATCAAACTTTGAATGCCACCACCCAAATCACAATATGGCTACGGCCAATCTTTAAATAGTGAAGGAATGGGGATGTTTCCTTGTGGCGAGCTGGTTTCCTTCACATTGTTGCTGTTATGGGGTCTACACTGCACCGTTTCCCTCAATAAGGCTCCCGCACACCGTCTTCACAGTAATGTATATTTTTGTGTGGTTGGATTATACTGTAAGTGTGCGGTAACCCATTCCCTTCCAATCCTTCCTGTCCTTGCCTTTCTTGTCTGCCTCTCGTGCCTAGTTCCTTCCTGTGTTTTGTTTTCCGTTCTTTGATTTGCCTTTGTTCCGCGTGCCTTCCTGAGTATTCTACGACTACCCCCGAAGGCACAGTCTACACGGCCATATTGTGATTGATGGTTTTGAGTGGTGGCATTCTAAGTTCGATGGTTCTCATTTCATGCTGGCGTGTGCTCTTTTCCGGCTTCCTTCCCCTTTGTTCTTTTAGTTTGCCTTATATTGCCTTTGCCTGCACAATGTCACTTCCGCGGTCAATTCCTTGCCTTTCTCCCGTTCTATTTTCTTTCCCTTCCTATTTGCTGTTTTTTTTCCGCTTCCTTTCCTTGTAGCGAGCCGGCCTCCTTCACATGGTCATTGTTATGGGGCATTCTAAGTGAGCAATCTAGTCTACACTGTACCTGCCACGTTTTTGCCCTTTCAATGCATAAAGCTCCCACACACAGTCTTCACATGTAATGCATGGTTTTGGGTGGCTGGATTAAAAGTGTGCGGTGTGTTCCCTTGGCAGTACTTCCTGTCCTTGCCTTTCTTTTCTGCCTCTCTTGCCTTAGTTCCTTCCTGTGTTCCTACATGTGTGTCTTTTTCCCTTCTTTGACTTGCCTTCGAATTTTCTGCCTTTTCCGGGCATCCCTTCCTTGTCAAATGCCTCTTTGGCACTGTGTTTGTTTTGGGGTATTCTATGGCTACTCCTTCGAAGGCAAAGTCTACACCGCGCAGCCATATTGCGATTTAGGGTTTTGGGTGGTTGTGGCATTCTAAGTTTAGCTGTTGTCATTCCAATCCGGTGTGTGTGTGTGTTCTCTTCCAGTTTCCTTCCGTTTCTTGCCGGTCCGAACATTGAGCTACTTGGCAATCATTCGTGTCCAAACGCACATTCTTGGCTTCTCCTAAGCAAGGTCAGGCCAACCAGCACAAATGCATTCCTCACATCACTCTCTCTACATCATCTACACTATGGATACTCCAACCCATCATTTACACAATCAAAAAAGCTCCCAAAACCACTTGTGAGCCAACGCCTGTGGATTTCCACGCAAAACTGCAACCAAATTTAGCTTGTTATATCTCATGAATTGAGGCATTCTAAGTTTCAGGCGTCCAAAAGCGTGCATTTTGCAGTAAGATGTGGCATTCCATATTTGCTATTTTAGTGCATTTTCCGTGCTATGTCAGACACGCGACGTATACATGCTGTGGGATATTCTACGTCTACTCTTTGCCAGGCACAGTCTATTCAAAGTTGTCATTCTTTCCCCGTTCCCTTCTGATGCTTGATTCTTGATTTCTTTTCCTTGCCTTTCCTTTCGCCCTTCCTGCATGTTTCCTTCCTGTGATCTTCGCAATTGTATATATCCCCTTTCCTGCCTTGACTCACTTTGCTATCTTCCTTGTCTGAAGCCTCCCCGTCACTGTGTCTGTTATGGGGTATTCTACGGCTACTCCTTCCAAGGCACAGTTTAAACAACCATACTGTGATTGATGGTTTTTGGGCGGTGGCATTCTATGTCTGATGGTTTTTGTGTTCATTCCATTCCTGCGGGTGTTCCTTTCCGGTTTCCTTTCGTTCTTTTCATTTAGTTTGCGTGTGATTTTTTCTTTGCCTGCCCATTTCCTTTCCGCGGTCAATTCCTTGCCTTCCCTTTCTTCCTTGCTTTGCCTTCTATGTGCCTTTCCCTTCCTTGTCGTGAGCCAGCCTGATGCATTCTAAGTGGGCAGTCCGCAGTCTACTTCTCGGTGCAAATTTCCGTGGCCAGTCCCTGCACAAAGCTTTCCCACACAGTTCTTACAAGCAATCTATGCCTACGGGTGGTGGAACTCCAATAAGTGTGCATACCCTTTCTGATCCTTTTCTGCCATTCTGGTTTCCTTCCAATCCTTCATTTCCTCTCTTTGCCCTTTTTTCGTCCCTTTCTTGCCTAGTTCCTTCCTGTGTTCCTCCTTGTGATTATTTTTCCTTCTTTGACTTAGCCTTTGAACTTTCTGCCTTTTCCGCATCCCTTCCTAGTCAGATGCCTCTTTGGCACTGTGTCTGTTACGGGGTATTCTACGGCTACTCCTTCCAAGGCACAGTCTACACTGCCATATTGTCATGTATGTAACACATCATTTAACCGGCTCCGCATTCCATATTTGCTTGGTGTATGGCATTACGGACTGAAACTTGGAATGGGTCTGGTAGATACCAAAAAAAACTCAATATGTAGGCATTCTAAGATAGCCCTCCGAGCCGGCATTCTAAGTCTCCCCCCCGGCATTTTGGACAATTGGCCGGCATTCTATGTTTGAGTCCGTCGGTATAGATACACTTGGAACAATAGCTAAGAGTGTAATAAGATAAAGATCAAACGAGGTTTGCTGGGTTGCTTTTTCATTTTGATGATCCAAATAGGGTGCATCTGGAGCTATCTTGCGACCGGACGCTGAGCAAGCTCTCCGCAATGCTGTGGACACTGGCTACAAGCGCTCGTACCCTGACCTGGCTGACTCGTGGCTCTGGTTTGTCTTCACAAAGGTGATATACTTTTAGTCACCGGTGGCATTCTCTCTGTCAGAGGATGGTTTCGAGATGTGCCACCGGAGACTGTGAGAGAATACTACACTGTGCGATCGATGAATTGCTAGGATGCTCTGTCAGAGTCGGACAGTGAACAGCTCATTCCGTTTCCTCACCCTGCCCTTCTAGCCTTCGTAAGGACAAGTGCGCCGTTCATGTCGTACGAGCTTGCAAGGGAGTAGAAGTGCTCGAGGGCTTACTTTGAAGTGGACAGCACAGCTGAAATGGCTGAAGTGCCCGCGATCGGCCACCTTTAGACCGAGTTCCGGTCGCCTGATCGGCCGCCTAGAGATGATGTTCAAGCAGAGCCGGTCCGATGCCCGTACTGAGTACTTCGCAAGGCTGGCTACTTGTACAGGTGAAGCATTCAGTTTTTTTCTCCGCTATTCGACGGAGCTTTCAGAGATGTCCTTTGAAACACACCCCGCGCAGAATGTGTACAATTTGTGGCCTCCAGCCGAATACATTAATCAATAAAAGAGCTACCAAGGCTCCTATACATGCGAGAGACCGCCGTTGCACCCAAAAGAGGTTTTGCTGGGTTTGAGCTACTTCGAAGTACTTGTCTGAGATTGCAAGAGGATTACTGACCTTGGCATGTTTTGAAAAATTGGAAACAATTCTGCCTTTTTGAAGGAAAGTATCTCGTGGCGCTTGTGGGATCCTTGAAATGTGGTGCAACAACCTCCACAGCAAACAACTTGCAGGTTATTGATTTCCTAAGGCTCTCTCCAAGATCTCTTCCGCCTTTGAGCACAGTTGAGAAGAAGGTGGCTCGTTCCGCTGACGTTGGATGATGAGACTTGATCAGAGATTTTTTCTGCCAGGAGCTCCAGGAAGCCTTTCCGGACATCACCGTGAGTGGCTCAAGTATGAGCGGAAGTCTGTGATAGAAAAACATGACTCTCCAGTGCCCAATCGATTCGCCACGTCAAATCATTTGCTTGAAGTTACTAGTAGCTTCTTGCTGCTAGTATAGTAATGGCTTCCACCTAGTAGCGTCCCTAATGATGTCAGGTCCACTCCAACCAGTTTGCTGGGTTTCTCTTCGACCCACTGAGGTGCAGCATCGATTTCTGGACGCTCCTGGACCCATCCGACTCAAGCGGAGGCCATCGGTCGGAAGCATGCTTCAATCGGTTGGTTTGGTGAACCTGACCCGAAGACAGAAACCGAAGACACAAAAGACCGCGTAGAGATGAATAGAGACGAATCATGCTCCCTTTGACGCTCAAAGGCGAGCGCCAGCGGCTACCACGTGCTGGTCCTTCGCCGCTGTTGCTGGCGTTTGTGGCTTTGCCAAGGCGAAGTACAGACATAATCATATCGCTCGACGACGAACACCGCCGGCACCAGGATAGTATCAGAAGGTTGCATCGGATCGATTCATTGATCCACAGTTAAACGAAAACAGAGCAGGCTTTTTTCGGTGCCCTGGTCAGGTTGGTGCAGGAGCATGTGCAGCTGGTTGCCTGGCTGGAGCTGCTCAAGTTGCTCATTCTATGGTGAGGCAGCACGGTTTGAGGTAAATTTGGATGGTCATGTTTGCAGAAGGCAAGTATGCATGAAAACGCACATGCGCGCAGCTTGACCATCTTGGCAGGAATGTCATAGATTCCATCAGTGAGGGCAATTCACGAAGATGGTTTTCGGTGCTGGGCTGAAGCGAGCATATCTTGGAGTCTGATAAGCACCTAGTTTTAGGGAATTCCACCATGAGACCAAGCCCTGGATGTTTGTATTCGATTGGCTTTTTGTTTTCGCTTTGCTTTGCCCCGGCTCTGTTGCAGCCAGCCAAAGGTAGTTGTTGCACCTCAACCACCGCAGCCATGCTCTCCATCAGAATCAGGAGAATGCATTTAGATGCATCTCAGACACTTGACAGGAAGTTTGGGAACAGACAGGGAGATGAACACAGCTGTTGGGCTACTGGAAGCCCCCCCTCCGACTCCTTTTGAGTCGTTTTGAGCTAAGATCGTGCTTTGGAGGAGGCTCAAGCACTTCAAATTCGGGGATCAAGGAGGAAGGCAACCCAGCAGCACATGAGTTGCAAAGGGTGGAAGCGATTTGAAGCTGTTCAAAGATTGGTACCTTTATTTGGACCTAAGCCTCAAAGAACAGTTGCAGCCTCAAAGAACAGTTGCGGTTTTCGAACCACTCTGGTTGTTGTTCCTTTGATCATGATACAGATGAGAGGTCATCCATCACGAACGCACGCGTGCTAAACGAAATGGCATCGCTTTCATTCGAGGCGCAAAGCAGACTGCTAGGGGTGGCGGTGTTGCTTGGCCCTTAGAGCTTTGGTCGTCTCCTTAACTGCAAAGCATCACACAGCATCTGTCCTTGCAACTCTTGGTCTTTGAGAATACAACGGACTTGTTTTCATGAACACTTTCGTACTCTTTTCCCCACTTGGTCCTTTTGTCCCCCAGCTTGTCCTTCGTTCCAAGTCCATGTGCCACACGAGAGTGCAGTCCATGTGCACCCCCAAGGTCTTGGAGCTTCCTCCTGCAGCGGTGGAGAGGTGTTTGGATCGCGTGGGCGTGTTTCGAGAGATCGCGGGAGGACGACCCGCGGGTCATCGCGGGTCGTCAGGTCAGGACTCCGTAAGTCCTGACCTTTTGGTGAGACAGGAATCGTTCTCCAACATTTTGGCTGAAGATTTCGGTGTTTTGATGTTTTCGTCCATTGGTTTGATACCAGAATGTTGCATCCTTTTTTGACTCGATGATAGTAGATCCACCGAGGGTGGAGGCAAATCTCGTCCATCGCCAGGCTTAGCCCTCACGCCTGCGACTATTTGCTGAGAAGTGTGGGGAGCCGACAGCAGATGAGTTCCGATTTCAGATGTCGAAAGGAGATGGTGAAGTCTTATGACTTTCACGAGGTCACGTCCAAGCAACAATCATGGTGGAGTTGGACGCTCAGTTTTTTTAAATGCGACAGTGTCATGGACGCTATGGCGGACTTTCTGAAGCCACCTGCAGATGCCGGGCAATTTCTTCTTTGTAAGGTTCAATGTGCCACCTGTTGCGAAGACGCTGGCTGCTCTCTGCAGTGAATGCTGTGCCTTCAGCTGATATCCACAACCATCGATGGTCTCAACGTGTGTCCAGAGTCGCGGGATTTACAGCATTGTGCACTGTGCACTAGACTTATGCAGACGAACAACATGTGAGGGTGGATTGTTTCACTATCTAACTGGTAAAATGCCTTAAGACTAGCAATCACTGCTCATCTAAACGACTCTCTTTATTGGTCTCAACAGGGCAATAATAGGTCCCGATGTTCGTGATTTGTTGCCATTGTTCTGGTCCCCGCATTTCAGCCATGTTTCATCGGATATGCGAACCACAGGCTAGTTTGCAGCACACTGAAAAAGGCAACCACCCACAAGAGGAAACAGACATCCCCGTAAGGATCAACATTTGCTGCACACAAGTACAGGTGCCTTCAAGTGCACTTTTCTGTTGCCGCCTTATCGCTCTGTGGAAGGTCCTCTCCATGTTGGAAGGTCCTCTCCATGTTGCGTGTGGAGTGTGTCCGTGTCCGTGCAGAGATCTTAGGTAGATATGTTTGGACGTTGACTGCGAGCAGTCGGACCCGGATAGATGTCTCCACTCATTGATGTTGTATTTGCCTTTGTTTGTCGTTTTCTTGTTCCGGATTTGCCTTGTGCTTTCGAGTGCCATAACCTTTCCAGGTTCTCCAAACTTGTTTGGAATCTACGAAAATGGTTCGCAAGTGTATGGTGTTACTGTATCGGTGTTGTTCGTTTCATTGAGTCATTGACCCACAAACTGATCGATGCAGAAGATGGCAGATTTATGACAGTTGGTATACAGAAAATGCATCAGGAAGGGGAATAGAGATTGCCCAGTATGAACGATTTGGATGACGCGCAATCGGTTGCCACAATTTGACGGTGGTTTTGTTGACGGCTAGCCACATTGGCATTTGTTATTCCCTTCTCAGGCATAAATGGTGATTTATGCATACAGCATACACTGTAAGATTTGATCACGCAAGAAAGATGCTATCGGCTATCGTGGCTGGCATGATTCTCCAAGGCAGTTGATGAGCCTTTGCCATTGGTTTTGCCCATAGATCTCGATCCCTTTGAGGCACATCCGGGATAAAACATGCATCAAGATCTTGTTGTCCAAGCGTTGGGGCAGCAAGAGTTACGGGGGCAAGGCTCCTCCTTCTGTTTGGGAGATGTTCTGCTTTAGGTGTCTTTGGATGGATATAGTTTTGACCTGAAGATGCCCAGCATGTGGCAAGGCTGCAAGTCTTGGGAGCGAATGGAGCTTCTTGTACTGATGGAGCTTCTTGCTTAGGCGCTTTGCCGTGGTCTTTCAAATGGAAGTGACTGCAAATTCCTGTCACTTCGTTCGCGTGCCAAGTGCTGAGCAGCCGAAGGTTCACAAGTTCACAATCCCGGACGAAGCGTCGTTCATTGTGTTTTCAATCGCGTCCGAAAATGAGGTTTGCGGCGTTCCCGGACCAGTTGATCCAAAATCTGGCACGATCTTTGCAGGCCACACTGACAGCCGACTTGTGCCAGATCCGGTGGATCTGGATGCAGTTCGTTCGAGCGAGGAACAAATCCAGCAATGGGATTTACGAGAGTCAGCGCCCCATTGCGAGGGGCCGGAGCTTTCCGGTTTTCCTGATTTTGTTTTACTTTTCCGAGGCTGGACCCACGTTTCGCTGGCTTCACACAACCTGCGTTGGTGAGTTTCGTGGGGCCGGCATGTGAGGTTCTTGCGGTAAACCTTTGTGCTTTCTTGAAAAATGTGACGGCGATGGGTTGCAACCAAGCCCGGAAACAAGTCCGTTTCATCTAAAAGCATTTTTGTACTGCCTTTTGCCCGTTGAAGGGGTGCCCTCCAAGGGTCTAAATAGATTGGTTTGTAATCTGCTTTCAACTGTTTTTGCTCCTACCTCTCCCTTTGAACTATATACTCAGATTGCTCCAAATCTGCTGGAGGATTTGGAGATGGAGTGGACTGAGTGGGACTTTCAGAACCCCCAGGAATTGCGCCACGGCCCCAGCGATGCACTGCCTCGGTTTTGACGAGAGTGTTTAGGGTGGCAAACTTCTTCCGTCGTGTTTCACGTCTGCCTTGAACTAGTGCTGAGTTGGTGGATACTTGCAAACATTGCATCAACCTTGCCTTTACACCAAAATCGAAGGTGTTTAGGGCATGACTGGGCTTGTGTCCAGTGTTTGGTTATGTGCCTTTGGCACTTTCCTCTTTTGAAAAGGGTGGCCTCTTCAGAAAATGGTGGCGGCCCGGATTGGCAACGCAGAATCTCACGACCACACGACCACATTCTGTCGGACAGCTGGGACCTACTCTGTGACGCGGTGGTGGCAGTTGAACGACGGCCGGCAGGCAGACTGTAGTTCGAGATTGGTTAAAACATGTTGAAAAAGACATACCACAACTAAACCTTGAACCCCTTGAATGAGGAGTGTCTACGGTAAGGTCTTCGTTGCGTCGCTCGAAGCTGATGCTTGGCGCTTTGCACATACGGGCGTTGCTAAGAAGGAAGTACGTTGCTGCAAGAGTTCAATTGAT